CCCTCTTCGATCAGAGTCTCTCTCCCCCCATTTCTCATAGTGTCTGTCTCGCTCTCTTTCCATCCTTCTAAAAAGGAAGAACTCAGATGTTGGTGAAATGTTTTCACCTTTTAGTCTTAAAAAATGAAAGAAAAAAAAAACTTCATATTGATTAAAAACAGGGCTCAATACTCACCTTCCATCTGAAATTCTATCATCATAGTAGTCCCTTCTTGAATATTCCTCATACCTGCTGTCATCAGAGTATCTTCTCTCTCTGGGAGATGGAGACCTGTCACGCTCTGCATCCCTATCCCTACCCCAAAATACACATTCTTATTAAGGGCTTAGTAAAGCTACAGTAGTAATATTTGCTATATCATTTGTTACATATATGCAATTTGTAGCCCTTCTGCACCATGCATTGAGTCTCAGTATACACATGATTCAACAAAAGATGAGTTCTTTATAACAGTAATTTCCATCAAAAGAAAAATTATCATGATTAACAGAGGACTGTAGAAAAAAAGCTCCTTCTAGAACTAAATGCTAAATGGTAATAACATCAACTCCAAAGGGAAATTCAGCACTGTGCATTCTTGGGAAGACATGCATGCATTTGTTTCATCTACTTTTGTTTATGTAGTTTTAAACAGAATAGGCACCATTAGAAAAGTAGTTTCCTTCCAAACAAATATGAAATTAAGAAAAAGCTGCCAACAGTTCATCTTATGCCCTGGCAGACTCACTTCAAATGACATTTCTGAGTCTCTTGCTGGCATCCATAATCTTACTCTACAGTGAGAAATGTGGTATCAGCAATACAGGGGTCCAAGAAGGAAGCTGGAATTTAATTTCCATTTTTAAGTCTCTTGGCATTCTAATCAAATGCTGAAGAATTTTAAAATGTTTAGTCTGCAAAACAGGTCTATTTAATTACTGCTCTCCCAACATGCAAATAAACCCATCCTATTAAATCTACAATTATTTTTTTCAATGATCATTTACAGTATTTGATAAAAAAGATTTCAAGGATGACTGTTTTTTGCATTTTAACTCACTATGGGAGGTATGTATGAATAATTATTATTAGGCATAAAAATCAACCGTTTCTACCTGTCTTCTGGAGATAAACTTCTGTGGCGGGAACTGTAGCTTTCTTTCCTCTCATGGCTGGAACCATGCTTTCAAAAAATAATAATAATAAAAAAATCAAGTGAAATATTATATAATAAATATTTTCAGTATGCTTTTCTTTGAGATGCAAACAGAGTAAGTCTTTCGGCTCTCACCCCCCAACAAGAAGGAAGGGTCATCAAATGAAGTTAACAGTAGTCAGGTTTGTTCAAATAATACAGTTTCGCAGTTGAACTCCCTGTTACAAAATGCTGTCGATGCTAAAAGCTTACACAAGTTCAAGGTAAAAAGGCAAATACAAAAGAGAAAATTAACATGCGTTACTAAATACACAGAAACTACGTAAGTTGCAAACGGAGCTGAGATAAGTCAAGGTAAAACACAATCACGAATCGCTTAAATAACAATTTTATCACTATTGACCAGTGGGAAGAGTTGGGTCTTTTCGGG